GTATATTTTGTGTATATTATTGTGTTTATGTACATACTTGGTCATATTTCAAAACACGAAAATTTCATGTTATTCAAGAGGCTACCTATAGGGTTTTGCAAGTAAGAAAAAGATAACTGCTAAAACATTAAAATTATACATTTCTAGCAGAAAAATAGATTATTTCTAATTTTGTGATAGATAACATGATATTTGATAGTAAAAGTAGTAATTTAAGTAAGATATAAGCCTCAAACTGACCAATAAGTAAAATACTGAATTCCCTTCGGCGCTACACGCCTCATGAAATTCAATATTTTACATATTGGACAGTTTTCGGCTTATATCTACTACATATATTGTGTTATATAGGTAACTAAATTCAGATGACATAATTATTTATAAAGGAAATATTTCAGTATATAATATTATATAATTATATATTGGATAAATGACATTGCATATGGGAAATGTGCCGGTTAAATAAATTGGATTTACAGCATTGTGCTATTTGTGCAGCAGGGTTATATTGGATTGATGACATTGTATAGAGGATATATGCAGGCATAAATTGGATTTATGACACTATTATTGTGACACTTTGACATGGAATATTATTGTGATTGTGATAGATGTATGAGGGTATGTATCACTAATTCTACTCAATTATTAATTTTTATTATTGTAATTAATCAGACTATTCTAAGCTTGCAGATGTTCTCGCTTCTTAAATGTTCTCTGCAAGTATTTTAATGGCACCAAATCGTTTAAATGATCAGAAATCAATAGAAAGGATGAGTGACTCTCTTTAAACATAGTTATTATCATGTAGATATATATTTATGATTTGAGTTTATCAATACGTTGACATTGCTAATGTCATGCACACTTTGGATTTTCCTATTTAAAAGTTTTGTTATTTTTGGGAAACCTGCCAATTGGTCATCATTGCAATGAAACCAAAAACTAACAAACATTATAGAGAATGAATGAGATACCCTTGTCAAATTTCATTGGTGTTTAATTAGATATTTTTTGTTTTGTTTGTTAAATGTAAGTCATGTGACTTATCGGGTCTTAATGCATTTTTTATGGGATGCTTATTTTATAATATATTACCTTACTGATTGCTTTACTTGATTATATAGCATAGTTTATTTTGTATAGAACCAAGTCATCTTGTTAATTTATACTGTCTGCAGACCTGAAACACTATGATACTGTTACGGTAGCTTTACAATTAAATCAAATCTTGACATTGAAGTATATATAATATATCTAATGAAATATTTTGATAAAATTTAAAAATGATAAAATTATTTTGTTTCCATTATGGTATAGAGTTGTATCTTAGAATGATTCAATTTTAGTGCTGTCATTAATTTACAACATGGTAAAGTTGAAATTGGTATTATCAGACTTAAATCATTCACAATAGCCATCTTGTGCATCATCTGACCTCATGGCCATTTAATTTACTGAAATATTCTACATTTAATGGGTTTTAAGTGTTCCTGAAACCACTAAAATGAACAAAAGATCAAGTCAAAATTTATAGTAGAATTTGACCATCATATTACGTCAGGTGTAAATACACAGAAACATGAAAAAACCTGCTTAAATCTCATTTGTAAAATTTTTACCTTTACATAATTATACTATGTTGAAATGTATAATTTTATTTGCATTTTCAGTATAAGCAAACAATGCAAATTAATTCAAATATCATTACTGTTATTTGAAAATTATTTTGGTCTCGCAGGTCAGGCACTACACTGCAATATTTAATTAAACATGTTTACATTCACTAATTACGGTCTTTGGCAAGTTTCAATCATCTCTTCGAGTATATATGAATGTGAAACAAACCTTCCTGAATAAACATACTGTCAGCTTACCCCAGGAGAATTCAAATTATTGAATATTTTCATTATTTACATTGTTGTAAATATCCTAGATATATTGATTTTAAAATCCCAGATATGTAATTAATTAATTAATCTATCACCAAAAACGACAAATAAACAAATATCATATGTATATTGATTGTGATAATTAAGAATACAAACATACAAGGTAATACAGTCTTACATATATTGAAACAAAGTCTTTAAGTTCTAAAATAATAGTTTAATAGAACTATTTATAGAGGGTGTGTTTGTGACCCAAAGTGGTTTAGATCTTTGACTTCAATCCCTGTGACTCTCAATGCTGTAGATACAAGCTGTGCAAGCTCCTTCGGATTCTTTCATAGAGAAAGTTATCAATCTTACAGAACGTCGGTGGTTCTACTCAGGTGCCTGTTTGTGCCTTAAATAATGCACAAAAGAGCACCTCTAAGTCATGCAGGAAAGTTGCTTTATGACCTATACTGTGTTGATACGACGTAAAAACCCAACCAAAAGCAAAAAAGACAAGAACTAGATGTTTTAGCTCATCTGAGCTGTTACGGCTGAAGTTAAGCTATTAGGACCGATGCACATATCCATTGTATGTCGTCATCTGTAATCTGTTTTCTTTGTTAACATTGTATTGGTCACATTTTTGCCTCAATTGTCACGAAACTTAGTCAGAATGTTTGTCCTATTAATTTTCTTAAACAAGTTTGAATATCAGTCATCTTAGATAAAAGAACTAGGTCTCAACATGACCTCAAATAGAAAAATCTTGTTAACACTGTTTCAATCCAAATTTTAAGGGTCCAAATTTCCTTCTCAGAAATGTTGTTTAACCATGTTAAGACTTAATTATCTGAGATTAATTGCAATGGAAAAATTATGCTTTGCCTGGTGAACGAATCAGTGACCCCTGGATTTCTTAACTGATGCTCTCGACAGCTGACACATCATGATTGCTGCAATGATAAAACATGGCAAAACCATCTTAAAACATAGGAAAAATTAGATTTAACAACCATAATTAACATTTAATGGTCAAGTTGTGCAGGAAACAGGAATTTACAACATTTTTGCAATTCATGATGGGATATTAAATAAAAATCTCAACAGTTCTTAAGAGTCCTAACGAAAATTCATTATAAGAACTATGAAAAATTTTGCAATGTTTTATTATGACAATACATTGATGAAACAACCCCACCTTATTAAATATAAGAAATTGGTTTAACATTCTAGAAGAAAGTATACCCTAAATCTTTAATTTTCACAGATTTATTTGAGAAGAAAAATTCTTGCGATGTTAATTAATTATATCAAACTTTTGAAGAAAACTAATATTTTCTGAATTATTCATTAATTGTTCCTGAAATATAGTTTAAAAAAGAATTGTAGAAAGTTTTAGAACACTTAAAGAATCATAAACTGTTCCTTAATTGGTCTAAAATATATTCAATACCTTCAGTAGAACATTATATTTTTAAACCAAAATGTTCTTGAACTTCTCTTAGTAGGTTGTTCTTAACAGTTGTAGAGTGTTTTGGAACATTCAAAATTTTCATGAACCTTTCCTAAAATGTTCAAGGAATACTTGAGACAGATAATTAAAAAAGTGTAAAGGATTTTCAAAAATTCAGATAACTCAGTTCCTTAAATTGTCCTCTTGCAAAAATAATAAGACATTTAGTATGATATTAATGCTCTAAAAAGAACAACAACAAAGAGCTGTTCTTGAACTGTTTCAAATGTTCTATAATAGAACAATTCGTTTTAAATCATACGATCTATGTTTTGCATGAGATTATTTATAAACATGGTCTCAAATGACTGTTTGCTGACATGCCATCCAGATATTGACTGATCACCATGCCTGTAGTTATACTAAGAAATAATCAACAACAACAACAATTATATAACAACAAGATTCTTGCTTACCTAGCAATGATTTAAACTAATTTATATAATAATAATAATGTAATTTAATGGAAATTATACCAGAAAATTTTCATAAGTTCGATATAATTATTACTGGAAAGTTTAATTGCACTGTAAATTTATTACAAGTTAAGTAAAATTAGACCAAATTAGTCAAGTAAAATAATGCCAATCATGGAAAATTCCTGAAATCATAAGAAACATGTTGGTTTTTAAAAGTCTATGTTCCTTTAATATTCATACCCGTAGTTTTCCAGTGTCCGGTATCCGGAGCAGTGACAATCTTCACAGTGAATCATGGTATATTGTGTGGGTAAGAGGGAAGATTATCTTAAAACTTAATACTGGAATATTTAACAATAAATTGTCTCGAAAAATATCGAAAAATTGTCAAATTTCTGTGAAATATTATAGAATTGTTCTTTGAGGCAGATGTGCATTTAATTGCAACTAGATTTTATCACTGCAGTATTTTTGCTGGAAAATGATTGTTTAGTGTCACTTTATTTTCCCTCTATATTTTTGAAATATGATTTGATGCTATAATATGATATGCATGCTGCAATATTCATCAAAAGATATCAGACTAAAGTTCCATGGAGACATATTAATTTCAATGATTCTGAGACAGATTTGTTCTGCAATGAAACTTGCTGAGAAAATTGATGGTAGAAGATGCTTGTATGTCCTTATAGCTCAACCATTTTATGTTAAAAGACAGTCCTCAAATTGTTGATTCAGTCACCTTTATTTAGCTTATTAACCTTAAAGATTTTCACACATACAGATGAGAATGTCAAAGAAAAATACTGATCTAGAATTTATTTTGTTGGATTATGCAAAGAATGGTTGGACTTATATGTGTTAATCTTTTAAGCCACCCGACAGTGCGAGACTTTTGTTTTGCATGTCAGTTCTAACAACTGAATCACTTAACACAATCATGTCATTATATAGGGTCATAATTGTAGATCACTGATGACCATGATCTATGACTGAAGCATATAGCACTATTCACAGTAGCACTGACAATCTGAATGTGCATCACATCATTTTTCTTCAGGTGGATAATAGCATACATTATTCAGTATCTGCATATTGACAGGCTTTGTGTGACAGATTTTTAGAAAGAAAAAAAACACTGGTTCTAAAATTTCCTAAATATTATCAAGTATCTGTTTATATTTGCAGGCGCGAAGCCCACAGGAAATGAATTTTACACTGGATACAAACAAGGCACAGAGAGAACTTATTGCTCAACTTGAACAAAAAAATAGGTATGTATTTTTATCAACTTTTTGACTATGACTATGATCATGATCTTTCTGTCACTTTGTGGCAAGTTTGAAATCAGATTTAAGACATTAAATTTACTTTAAAAATTTAAATTAATAATACTACTACAACATAAAGAAAATTAGTGCAAAGTTTCTTTTTTGATGGATCTATTTCTTGAAACACGCCCTCATTGAAAAAAACATTTTGATAAAAATACTTAACATTAATGTTTTGTGCATATTTTTTATGTTTAAGTCTGTAAAGAACTTTGGGGTATATTGCTGGTCAGCTTTTGGTTACAGAAATTATTTGCTGCATGCATTGCAAATATTTTGTATTGTATAAGATATTATATATATATCATGCAGTGATCTGATTCTATAATTTATTCCTACCAGATCAATATTATCTGTCATTATCTAGATGACAGTCATTAATAATTTGATCCCCATTATATTACCTTATGTCCAGTATGATGGTGGCATTATATAATGATTCAGGCCAAGTTGTCTTGGATAATGGTCAAATTATCACATATTGTTGTACATAATTATCACATATTGTACATAGTTATCATATATTATACATAATCATCACCATATTGTTGTCAGTATTTCTGTGTGGAACAGATGTAATGGAGTAATAGATTGTCTGTTATAGGGATATAATCAATTTTGGTTTATGTTACATACATGTATATTTATAACAAAAATGATTCTTTGTGGCAAATTAGTGAAAGTTCTTTATCTCATGCTGTCCTAAATGTCTTAAATGGACTTGTCCTTCTTTCAGCCTGGACAAAACCATTCATCATTTTAGTATTGACTGAATAGCAAAAGTATGCAGTTAGACTTTGTCAATATGCAAGTCATCTTCAAAACTTGAGAATGTAATATGATTTGGAAATAGAAAACAGCTTAAAGTCATAACACCTGAAGAATAAAGATGAAATAAAATGGGAGAAAAAAGAAATAACCTGTTGATACTAATTAAATGAACAATAATTTGTTTGCCATCTTTTTCTCTTTTGAAATCCATTTTTTTCTTTTCTTTTTTAATTCATTATTTACACATTATGTATTTAAAATGTAAACATGTTTTGGACACACTATTCATTACAAAAAGCTATTGAGGCATATAGAATATTTTTATTTATCTGACAATTTTGAAATCGGATAACAAAGAAAATAAAGTAGCTTGACTTACATCAATACAGAATCTGTTAATTTTCATCCACATCATTTTCTAGAGGTGTGCTAGTGATTTTATTGATTGCCAATTATAGTAATATGATAAGTTGTTATATTTTTGTTGATATTGACAAAACCTATTATTTGTTTATGTCAAGGTACAGTGTTTTCACAGGTATTATGTTTAATGTTTTATTGTAGAGAAATTATGAGAGAGATACAGAGGCTACGTATGGAACAGGAAGCGAACGCTAAAACCACCGCAAACGCCCAGTATAACCCTACGTTAATGGCGGAGTTACGATTGTTGAGGCAACGAAAGGATGAACTAGAAAATAGAATGACTGCATTACAAGACAGTCGTAAAGATTTGGTGATGCAGCTTGAAGCTCTGATGAAGTTATTGAAGGTTTGTATAGTTTTTATGTTAATTAGTTAAAAGGCCCATTAAGCCCAAAAAATGCTATAACTATATTATAGTTTCTATTTTACTAAAACTTTTTTTATTTTTTTGTAAAATTCATGACAAATGTATTTCTAATATTCACATGCATATTGGTTTAAAGACTTTGCATTTGTTAAATATATTTTTGAAACAACTATCACTGCCAATGTCACTTTTCAAACTCTGACAAAAGGTAAGATTGAAATTAAAATCAAGATAATTGATACATTTAAAAAAAGGGTTGAGAAAAATTATCCATTTTATTTTTGTAGTAGGTTTTATATATTGTTGATAGCTTAGCTTTTTAAAGACACATATATTCTCAGCTTAGATTGTTTAAAGACACATATATTCTCAAAAACATATTTTCATTACAAAAATAAGAACAAAACATTTAGAGATTGTTTTAGACCTTAAATGATACAGAATAGACAAATTTCTTTTTTCTAATACTTATTACTTTGTCTTTAAATTAGTGTCTAAAATCAGACTGATTAAATTTTCAAATTTCACCACTGAGAGTTTTTGAAGTCTCTGGTACTGTTTGGTATTTTTGTTTTATAGTCTGTCTGCAATACTTTACAAACATTCTGAGTAGATTTTGTAAGCACAACGATGAGTATTATACTAATAGTTGTATTATAAGCTACTAACATATGACATTTTGGATGTATTTTCCTCATGGTTGTATTCATAGTCAATTCTTACATAAATCTGTAGCGTATACTTTACTATACTATTTTCTTAGGAAAAACACTGAGTGAGACAAAAAAAACAAAAAAAAACGGACCCACACTCCCCCCACCCCCCACCTACCCCTCCCACAATTTGGTGCTGCTGAGAATGAATGTGCCTTTAATATTCAGATAATAGGTTATTTATGGCCATACATATTACATTGAATACCTGATACAGGTTTCCTGTGACAACATTGTTCAGACAATACTATATAAACACTATCATTAAATTATAGAAATGTCCTCATTAATCAAAACAATAAAAAATATATCTGTGCATATTTCTGTCATTTTTACAGTAATACATTAGCTATTTTATTACAAGTTTTGGGATCAGGTTATTTTATATGTTCATAATTGGCATGTTTAAAATTATTGATTCAATAAGACATTATGAATAACAACAAACAGTGTTACAGCACTTGTAAGGTAATTGTGAGATAAATGATATTTTATTGATGAGATATCAATACTGGTAATCATTTAATATGAACAAAAACAAAATCAACTGGTGATGTGAACAAAAAACAAAATCAATTGGTGAGTAAATGATAAATACATATATACAATTATTGGATATCGAGAAAAGGTTTTCGGAAATGCAGAATATAAAAAATGTTTAACTTTTATACGTTTATTTCTGTAAGCACTTTCAATGCTTTTACATATCTTGAGACAGTAACGTTTAATAATATTATTATTGGATAAATAGATTTTACCAAAATATATAATATTAGATTTTACCATTGGAAGTACATCATTCTATTTTTGTAAAATATTCATGAATTGTCAGTTATGACATCAATGGATTATCACATAAATTGACCACATTAAATGAAATGTTAGATCAAACCAAAGTACTGGATTTCATAAATTTTTTTCTAAAGTGCTACAAATTGCATAGATTTTATGAAAGTCTATATTAACTATATGATTTGATGTATTTACCAAAACTACTAAATTTTTGACTTATATTATGAGACAAGGTATTGTTTAAATTGTGATGAAATATTGATCTGACTGAAGAGGATTGACATGTTCACTAAATACGACAATTAAAGCCCTTCCTATATACTCTACAATTACAGGAGAATATGGGAGTATCTAGTTTCATGATAGCAAAATTGATTGTTCAAAAGCAATGTTGTAATGTCAGTGTTTTGTTTTAATAATTTCATGTACATACATCCCTTCCTAAATAAGTATGATAGTCTTTCAGGGATATCATTGTTAGGATTTTTACAATTTAATAAGTTTTCAAGGACTATCATAGTCAAAGTAGCTAATTTGATGAAGGATACTTGATGAGACTGACATTTGCATATTAAATTTAACACATTCATCATTTTACCTGGACTAACCAATGATAGTTTGTAAATAACACATACATGTACGGTTTGTGAATAACAGTGAAATTATCATCGTTACTCAAGGTGTTGGCCGAGGGAAACTGTATGTTTACAAGTGATGATATCTTTGCTGTTACAAACCTATTTGTTATTTATTTTATTATCCTGAACAAATACTTTATTGGGACACTGTTTCTATAGGTTTTTATTTTTTTATTGAAAAAGTACTGTTACTTTTGTAACAGTACAAAATTTTTAGTCACATAGTACACTTGAATTAACATCGGCCTTACAGAAATAGTGAGGGGTGATAATATCATATATTATTATAAGATATCTGACTGTGATGCCAATGAGGCTCAAACCCATACTGTCTTGGTTGCAACACTTTAGCTATTTGCTGAGACTGTTAATATGATAGCATATACAGTAAGCAGTATAAAGAACCTCAGGTCAGACTGAAGTAGAAGGTTTATCTTGCTGGTAATGTAGACCTTCCATTTATCATGGTAAGCACACACATACACACATAGATATAGATTTAATGTACATGACCATATTAGAATTATTCCTGTCCTAGATTCTTTTTTCCCTGGAATGTTATATCTTGTTTGACTAGATAATTGACCTGGTCACGTGAAGTTTAAATTAGCTATGCAGACATTCAGTGGAATTAGATAACCATACATTGTTCCAGTTTAATGAGAATTTTATTCATTCTTGTGTCACAATCTATTGTATGAGCATTTATACCAGACTTATGTGGTAACACAGAGAATTGAGTAATAGAACTGATTTAAAGATGACAAGTTAAATTAAAGATAATAAAATAGGCAAAATTTATAATTCATGAATTGTTTAAAAAAAATGCAGGTACATCAAAAAAGACATAATAGACTGTCAGATAATTATACATACTATGGGGGGGTCCTTTTTTTTAAGCCCTTTCCCATGTAATAAATAGAGAAATACTGTTCTGTGTGCAACCCCTCCTACATTTCTCACTGGATTTTCTACCAGTAACTCCATCTAGTGTCGTGGCAGGCATCTTTAATACGCCCATAAATTAGAAAATTTTCTATTTAGTACACATTTAGGCCTCTGAAATTTCTAAAATATTTCAACCAGCTTTTATTTACAGAACACTTGATGTTGTGGCAGTTTCTATCACTTGTTGTTTGATGTTTCAAACTTTGATTCTTTAAAATTCATGAAATTTGCAGGAGTCTAAAATATTTAAAATGATGTGATAAATGGAACTTTACTGTACAAATGTTATAGTATAATGGGGAAATTCAATACTATCATTATGTAGAGTAAAGATTGATAGATTGTTTATTTTAATGGTTGAATATTTATAAGGTATGTTGAATTTAGATTAAATATATAATTTGTCTCTTGTTACTGAATAAGGTATTTTTTTTTTTTCAGAACCAGCCTACCTCTCCCAGACTGACTCCTCCGGACAGTTATCATAGTTACAGTGCCTCCTCGCCTTCTTTCTCCACCCTTAACTCCACCCAGGGGCGGTCTAGTGTCGCGGCAGGCACCCCTAATACGCCCAGTGATTACACAAATAGCTTACAGTACCAGCATGGACGGTCAAGTGTGCCGCTCATGTCACAGACAGGCTACTATTCAGACTCTAGTATAAGCACAAATGGCTACAGTCACGGGCGACTCAGTGCACCTATTGTGAGCCCGTCTAATGAAAAGCCTAACACAGTGCCAAACACCCCAGGATTTGAGTCAACTACGCTGTCGGGCTTAGAAGGTGATGTTCAGCTGGCATTTAGTCAGCCATCAAGTTCAGGACATAATGTTCGAAACCTACGGAATGATTTATTATCAGCGGCGGACAATATAACAGGAGCGATGTCCTCACTGGTGAAGGAACTTAATTCAGGTAAATTACAAGCTAGTGAAAACAATGTATGAAATGACATGACTTAAGTTTCAAATGTTCTAGAAGAATATATGCATATATTTCAAGGTATGGTAATCCTTTTTGGTGTCATTATTTTCCATAAACATAAAATTTGGTAAAAACAGATAACTTTTGGAATGATTTGGTTTTGATGTATTCTTGAAGTTCATGGGGTTTTAAAATTTCTTCTATCTTTATCACCATTCAATACAATTGAAAAGGATCTGTATTGTCAAATTTTCTGGCAACATGTTTGGAAAGAATATTCTGAAGAGTTACATTGTTTTAGGATAAACAGTATGACAAGCATGCCATATCTTAGTATAGAAGAATACAGCAAAGTTATATCCCTTTTATAAGATCTGCCTTGTACTAATACTTAAGTATGTGTATGTATAAACACAATTATAAAAAAAAGTCTGGAAGTTAAACAAAGTTCATTCAAATTGTATGTGTAACTACATGGAACTGTAAACATTTTTTAAAAACTGATAAAATAGCACTTAAACTAACAAAGCTCACAGTTAAGTTACAATCATAATTTCTTTATATGATAAATTTCAGATCAGAGTGGTAGTGAAGATGATGAGGACAACATAAATGGTAGGAAATATCTTTGTTTAATATTTCTATAACCATCCATGTATACTTTTTATAATTTTATCATTTGAATATCAATTCTCAGTCATATCCTTAGTGGCAAAAAACAACAAAATTAAGATAAGTGTGAAATTTCTGTCAGTTATCACACTATTTTAGACTTAGTATGAATTCATTTATATAAATGCAAGGTTAGTAAGTTTCTGAACTGTATATACTTATAATAATACTAATAATAATAAACTCTTTATTTAACGAAGGTACCTCATTAAGGCAATACTTAAGTTACTTCCTTTTAGACCTCTATAGTTTGAATTTAAATTGCGGAAATTCATGTAGGATCAAACATTTACAATATTGGCAAAACTCATGTCTTAAGTTATGAGGTATCATGACTCACATAATAATTTACAAAACAAAATTCTTCAAAGACAATTCATTTTCACTTATACCATATGGTAAATTTGTTAAAAAACTACCTATTGGGAATCTTTTATACAAAACTCTATCATTATAACATATCTTTATACATAAAGGTGACCTAGAGATAGCTGAGAACTACATGATGCAAACTAGAGAGGACCTGGAGTCCTGGCAGAAAGAAGTTCAAAAACGTTTAGATCAGGAAACTAAATTTGTGACAGAGCTGAGATCTAAACAACCAAACAGTGGAACCAACAGTAATCCACGCAGTGGATATAACAGTGGAAATAGAAGTGGATATAGTAGTGGTAGCAGGAGTGGATACAGTAGTGGTAGCAGTTACAGTGAGGAGGAGGAAAGTAAAAACAGGTAAATGATTAACCTTTTGAATGATAGAGACAAAACTGAATGTTTTTGCCACCAATTTAGTATTACATAACTCTACTGTTGGCTGCTGATATTTTAAGCATAGTATCAAAACCCATCACAGTAACAATGGACTTCTCCAAATTAAAAGCAGAGCAATTAGATTATGAACATTTAGCATTGTATAGGTAAAGGTTCATTGTTTAGTTGATAGGGATTGAAGCACAAATATTGAAAATTAGTTGGCCCTGCTTTCTCTTTTGTGTAGCAAGAGTTAAGTTATATTTCACAAATATGGGTTTCTGGTGTAGCTCAAATCAGAATTCAGACTCCTAATTCTCATGCCCTCTGTTATGTATGATATGCTTTTTTTACAGGCTCAGACTTGCATATATTTTAGCACTATCATGGTATATAGGATTTTACAGTAACTTGTTGACATATATATTCACAAAATGCATAGTCACAAGTGAAAATATAACAGCTGGTGTTCATGAGTAAAACATAAATCAGTCTTATGAGCAAAACAAACAAGTTTTCTATGAACATTCATGCATTTTGAGAAATGTTAAGCAATTAAATTTTTTTTCAAAGTAATGTTGTGCGCTATCCTTTATGATGTTATAAATCATGATGTCACAAATTCTCAAATTTTGTTACATTAAAAAAATTTAAAATGCTTTGTGCAAATATTTATCTGATTCTGAATCTCATAATTATGCACATTTTGCTTACGATGATGTGTATTTCTGATGAAATTTTCTTTCATAATATTATATGAGATATATTTTAAAGCAGCATGCAATTTTGAAAATGTATTTGAATGTATAATATTGTGAAATAACCAATAGGCAGCAATTAACACATTATCAATGACACAACCCACGTAAATTACCATAAAGTGGTCAAAATATGCATAAATAGCCCTTACTGCGTTAGTAACGCAGTAGAATGCATTAGTAACGCAGTGGAAATACTGTTTTAAATACTGAAAAATCAGCCATTAATCGCACATAACATGTAAAATATTACTTGAATGTTGAATCATTTTACTTTTCCTAAACTCTTAGTACATATTTCTCAAGTTTGATTTTATTGAAATATTTTTACTCATCTGGAGGCATGCAGCTTTAATTTATATTCGAATATAGTTTAGCTACAATGAAAATATTTTTCAAAAATTTAACTGGGAAGTTATGAAAATATAACTTCACTATCTATGGAAAATCATGTAATCAAACCTATTTTTGCTGTGTTACTTTTAACCCAACTCGCAAATGATATTAAAACAATATAATAAAGTTTGAATGTTCTTCATTAACAGATATTTGCGGCATGTATTTCCACGTGTAGACTATACAACAGATGACGGGGAGTCGTATGTGAGAACAGACGATGAAAGTTACACTAGAACAGATGATGAAGATGCTGAACTTTATGATAATCATCCGAAGGTATCTGCTGGTATCAGGAATTATTTTACTTAGTTAAATATTCTTACAAATAGTTCATGATAAAAAATATATAAATTTACCATTGTCTTGGTTTAAACAGCAATTATTTCAGTTTGATTGTGTAAAAAGCTATAAGCTTATAGATACACATTTATTCCTGGGACCAACTAGAACTGAGCTATGAGTGTAAAGTTTCTTGCTCAAGGAAACAACGACTTGCCTCTGATGGGGTTTTAACCCAAAGGACTGGCGATCACTATATTACTAGTCTGATGCTATAACCACTCCGCAATGCCGCACTTAAACCATTGTCTATGGTAACAGATTAAACTTTATCCAGTTATATTTTTGTTATACACTTATCCTACTTTGAATTTTAAAAGAAAACTCTTATGTTATGCATTTGTATACAACAATTGTAGTGCAGTGTGTTTAAACAGCATAACATTGGAGACTCTTAGAGTACTTACTAAGAGCTTACTTCCACAACCAAATATTGTGTAAATATATCTTACACATGTGAACTTTTTTTGATGATCAATTGGGAGATTTTTCTTCAAAAAGAGGGAGATTTTAGAATTTGCAATAAACAATGAAGGAAGTTCTGACATCAAAAATAGGGAGATTTTTCTAATTTGTGAAAATACCCCTTATTTTAAGAAAAAAACTTGAAAAGGTGGGAGTCTCCAGCTAATAGTGGGAGAGTTCACATGTATGATATCCATTGTTTGTAAGTAAATGTTTAAAAAATATTTATACTGGTCGGAGAGATAACTCCGACGCATAGATAACCCCGACACTTGATAAATATAATTGTTTTAGCTTTGTTTTTTAACAAATAAGCACATGATCACCTAACAGTATAGGAACAGGACAAAATGTGATGATTTGTTATAATTTGGTAGACTTTTTAATGTTTTTCAAATAACCTAAACTTTTTGTAGGCAAAAACTGCTTCAAAACGTTCTTTTTACTAAATTACAGTAAGGTAGTTAGAAATGTATTGACCACAGGCCGCTGACTTGGGAAAGATTTTTGAAAAATTGTTTAAATATTTACAAAAAATAGATAAACCATAGAAGATGTAAAAATAAATTATTGATGCTGATTTTCCAGTCATTTTTTACTTAAAAATTTAAGTGTCGACTTTATCTACTGTTGTGGGGTAAAACGACCATGTTTTGTATACCTCATTCAAGACCTTAAAGAAGTACCAGATTCCATTTTCATACATAGTTTTTGTGGTGTAATGTAAAGTCTTTGAACTGAACTTTGTTTAGGTGGTTCAATATTTAAAATATACTGGAAGGTAATTTAAATATTGCAAAAAATATGTGATTTAGTGTCGGAGTTATCTCTCCAACCAGTATATGACACCTGAATGAAAATTTTTAAATGGCATTGAATACAATTTGGCCAAATTCTGTGTCGGTTGACTTTTAGCATTGTTGATACTGGATTATAATTAGCAATGCCAACTTGAAATGGTTACACCCTCAGCTTTGTTGGTTTGATTCCTTCTTGTGATAAAAGAAATTGTTGACATTTCCATATGGCATTCAGTTGTTGTCATAACTGTTGAAATAAAGCAAGGGGAGAATGTTAAACATGATATTCTACAAGGTGTTAATGTTAAACATGATATTTTGTTATATACAGGAGCTACCAAATGAGATGACGTCAAGTCGTCACTCGACAGAGGAAGAAGGATATATACAATCTGATGCTGAATCTTACATACGGACAGACGATGAAGATGGTACAAATACTGACACAGATTGGGAGGAATCAATGAAAAGATGGATAAATAGATGAAAATACACACAATCACTTGATGGGCAAGGGGCAAATATTAGCTTAATGATTATAGATAAACTGTTAATTTAGATCTGTATAGTTCTAATCTGTCAATGAACAAATCTGTATTTATGTATATAGGTATTATACAAAATGCACAAAAACTCTGTCTTATTGACTCGATTTGATCAAGTTTATAGTCTGATATAAATATGAACAAATATAACTATTGTTAATTTATTTTGTTGCATGGAATACCTTTTATAAATAAGTTATTTGTAGTATGATAGAAAACTGTTGTTAACTGATGCTGAAAACATTAAGATAAGTAATTTATACCATATGTCAAGGCTTCAACTTGCCTCCCACACAATTGCCTGAACTCAAAATGCCTGAACTAAAACATCATGTTATGACATTCTAATAACTAACTTTGAAATATGTGACATTGTTGTTGTTGTCAAAGAACACAAAGCTCTAAAAACAAAAGGCAAAAACGGACAACATATTGCTTAGAAAATTTCATTGAGCTGAGATTGTTGTGTGCATTACTTAAGTTACCACTGGTCAGGTCACTAAGTTTTTCAAATTTACGTAAATTTTAGCAAAATTAAAAATGTTAATAGTTTAATATTTTAGACTGATAAGATATAATTGTGATATGAAGTTAGTTATCTAGAAATAGATGTAACTGTGTAATGAAACCCTGATGGTTATGTGAAGATTTTCATTTACTGTTTACTGTATACATGCAGCTACTTTAAAGTGGAACAAACTAATACACTCTTAAAGTAAGTTAAACGGAAATTGAGGACTTTTAAAAACATTTTAGATAGCAGAAAACGAAATGACCTGATTGTTTATCACAAAAAAACGATATCATGCTATTTGCTTATCTTGTTACATAGCAAATTTTCAATTTTTTGTAAAAACTGTTTTCTCTATATTATGCATGATTTACTAGAGAAAAGATAACTCTGTATTGATAGAAGCTGATGAAAAGCAAAATTTGTCTCCCTTTGATTATTTTCAGCCAGCCATAGACAAATATGAAAAAATTAATTTGAACATAACAAAATGTAAAATCAGCAGAAAACTGATCAAAAAAACGCTTTTGATACAAGTATGTTCAAAATGGAACTGCTTTAAAAACAATTTATTAAATTCAAAGTTCTATGTAGCTTTTATTAATTGTCAATATTATAAACCTACAAATCATTGTATTATTTGTTTTGATTTAATCATATTTTCTTCAGTTTGTTTTTTGTTATTTTGTGCTAACTCAGAAATGAGTCCACCATTTTCAATCATTTACTGCATTCGTTTTCATTTTCCTATTTTATTGTGTAGTTTTTCTTAGTACACTGATCCCACACAAGAAAATTTTTTTTTAGGTTTTCAACCGTATTTTGTGAAATATATGAAAACCTGTTACATTCTGTCAAACACATATAGCATTCAATTAACTACTTTGCTGATTTATTATTACACTTTTAATCTAGTATATAATATATCTTCATTTACTAGTAAAATGTTCTCTTTGGGGTTGCATCCATGGTTTTCTTTCAGTCCTTCTTCTTAGCTCAATAAGGAGGCATTGGATCTGTAATCCTGTGGTTGTTAATCTGGTTCTCAGACAGGACAAAATTTCTCTTTGAAAATTGATTTAGGACATTGAGTCAAATGGTAATTTGATTCTAACAGCTAATTCTTAGGTCATGTTGAATTAGTAGGCGGTCTCTTGCAGAGAAATCAGTTGGTTATTACCGGTTAGTTATCCAGGAAAGTTGGTTAAAAGATGGATTAACTGCCGAGATATAACCAGCAAGAGCACCACATACAGTGTAAACGCACATCTGTGAAGGACAGCAACTATAAATAACCAATTATTTACAAAATTCTTTGTTAAAAAGGGCCAAAACTCCAAAAATATGGCTTTCAGAATCATGCCCCTTGCCTAACAAATGCACATTGTCATAATAAGCAAGTATTCGATAACTTGTAAAGTATTCAAATTATGAGCTACATTAAAGTTTTTGCACGATGACAACAATGTTGACACAGCAATAAATTAAGCTCAACTTTTTCTAGAAAACAGGCAAGCTAAAATTGTGTCAAAATTGGCGTTTAAACCAATCAAACAATAATACATTTTTGTTTTTGTGTTTCAGTGAAATTAATTTTTTCTTGTATTGGATTGCATGAAAAATGAAGCTTGTTTCCTATTTGATCAGATTTCTTATTTGTCATTATTAATGCCATATTAATTCATGAAGATAATTGTACAAAATTTATTTACCCATACAATTACCTTTTAGTCTATACTTATACCTCAAACTGTGTTTGCCATTTCACTTTTTAACATGCATTTAGCTAATTAACTTGTTAGTATTATTCACCACAATCAAGAAAAGCTATTTTATATTGTATTAAAATATTGTTTAAAACCTAGTCAGTTATGGAGATAATCTGCAATGTTCATTTATATAATTATCATTTAACATTTGCTCCTACATTAATATCCATGCAATTGGCACAAACTCCATGGTGTCAAGATCTTCTATATTTATTTAATGTTTCTACATTTGACTACAAACTGAGCATTTAAAAGTTCATACTGCTTAAGTCATTGACCTTTAACCCCTGTTTTCATTGTGTCACTATAGAATATAATAAGCACTGGCTTTTTACATGTTTTCATTTTACACTGGAAAAAAATGTAATTGAAAATGTCCTTACCTCTATATGTTACACATGACCCTCTGCTAAATGTAATTTTATTGTGAACACTTTATAATGTTTCATAAATATCACTTGCCTCGATGAAACTAAACAGTGTTTGCCTTACAGGATGTTTAAGTTGTTTATTATTATAACTGACCACTAGACTTGTTGATCATGATTTGTTACGTTAAATTATGTTTCATACCATAAAAAGACTTTTTATTTTATGCTTTTTTTATTGTGTTCATAGTTTTACACAAATAATCAGATTTTTGTTTACAAAATTTGTTCTGTATTATTTCTATATTTTTATATAGGACTTAAAAATCTACATACATGTACATGTATTACGTTTAAAGTAATTTCTGTTCACATTATTAGCTAGTTTTATCACAGGCATATTACTTACCTATCATAGTCTGGTTGACAATGGCTACCAGATGTTAGACATTTTAAGATAGACTGTTCCACCGTTCAGTTTTGCCATGTTTTTAAGGTAATTATTTGCCCTGTAACACCACTAATCTGTCCCCACAGCAATAATGTAACAAAAGGTTGTTTAGAGTACATATACATTGCCTTCAGTCCAATGATTTAGATTCTTCAAAACAACTTTAATGGGATAATGTTTTGATTATGAATCATGATATATGTTTACTTACACAGTTGCCATGGCAACCATATTCTTTCATGATGTTATATTGAAAGATTATCATTAATACTATATCTTTTTAAGGATGTTTTTATCTGCTTTATTTTTGAATTCACCAGAGATGTAGATGACTATATAGTTATCTAAGTCTCTGAATTCATTTATTGTAAGTTGCTTTAGTACCATAGCTGTAATTTAAAGAATAGAAAATATTAGGATAAGGATGTTCTTAGTTTTTAGGATAGGAAATTGTTCTGTAGTTCTCTTTGTTGTCACATTTTGGCAATAACATATCCCACACAGAAAATGTTTCCATCTAGTTTAATAATTCACATGTGATAAATAGATATTTTTCAATATTGCACATATTGCTGGTTGATATCATTATATATTACACAAGTAAAAAGTACTAAGTGTTAATTATTTCGAACACCAAAATTATTACAGGCATGTAAAAATAATACTTAAATGTTGTTCGTTAAGTACTCCTATACCACTGTATAGAAATATCAACATTACTGTTATGAATTGACTCTAAGTTATATTATTGATCAAATGATTACATGATATTTTATAATTTTCAGTTTTTGTATCAGTCATGAGATTTTAAGCCTGAATAGTCTGATTAGTAACATTAGACATGTGACATGTTTTACTGCACACCAGATGTATTGTCTGTATATTGATCTTATCATCATTTATTTACCCACCATTGGCTACAACTCTAACGGCTTAATAAAATTAAAACAATATTGTAATTGGTGTATGCATTTATAACTTGTAGTCAAGAAAATGTGTAAACTAATGAAAATGTTACTTTACACGAATCAGTTTAGTTGGTGTATACTAATGAATTTTATGTTCATAATATGTAGTCAAGAAAATGTGTAAACTAATGATAAATTTACTTTACACAAACCAGTAATAAAGAAATCATAAGTGGCTTTGTTAATGAAACATTGTGTAACATTCAAATGTGATATAAAATTATATATTTAAAAACGTTTAGTCATACAGTGTAGATGTTTGGACTTCATTTGTAGGTTTTCATAACAAGAATAATGTTAGATGCAGACATAGTAATAGTTTACCGTCGGAGAAGTGTCAGATATATATGTGACATATAATGCTATTGGTTGTGACAGTTGACGTAATATAACTCTACATTGATCTTTCTATGCTGTTATATATGTTACACTCTATTTTACACGTGTGTGTTCTATCTCTTGTTGTTAATGCATTCATAGACAATGTTAATAAAAATGATATTTAGCTGATATACTTGCTTTTTAATCTTTATCACTACCAACTGTGGTGTAGCAACTGTTTATAGGTATTGAGTATTTACAGTATCAATAGATAATTATGGATTCGTTTTTTAGCTCGACTATTCTAGGAAAAGGAAGAGCTATAGTACTCACCCAGGTGTCAGTTTCGGCATCACACTTTTGTTTGCGTGCAAGTTGGTATCTCAAAAACTACTTTAGGAATTGGTTGGAACTTCACACGCTTATTTGAGAGCATAATAGGGTTCACTGAGTCTGTCAAAGGCATATAACTGTAATATGGATTTTGACAGAATTATGACCCTTTTGACCTTGGAAAAAAATCTACATTATCCAGCAGGGTCTCGTGCCACATTGAAGGTTCCATTATAACCGCCTTATGAACACATCTGTGGATGTTTCTAAATTCAAAATTTCACCATTTTCAACTTATGATTTTGCTAGGGGCGTGGACGGTAGTTACTAGTTTGCATTTGTTTTAATTTTGCCTTTTTGGGTATCGACAGCTCTTGATGCATTTATACTGTCATGGTCGTGCTCAATGAAACAGTCACGTTGCTTTGAAATACCTTACTTTCCAGAACTTATAAGTAACACCGTCATCGTTAAGTTCAATTTTAGCCATTAGTTAAGGAGTAACAACCTGTCGCAGGTTATATCTATTACTATCTCAAAAGAAAACATCTCCGACAGGACCGTGACGGCGTTGAAAAAGTGATGTTAGCCACTTGGAGGCTGCATTTGTATGTTTTCTTTACCTAAAATATCACATAAATGACAGACTAAATATATGTTCCCAATCTGATCTACATCCTTAAGCTGTTACAGGAATCATACCTGATACAGATAAATAACAAGAATTATTTAAGTGAAAATCGGCACAAAAGTAAGATAGATATTTACTGTTATTTACCATTGAACTGTACAAAACTGAATATACGAGGGATGTTCGAAATGTATTGCTTATTTCTATCTGGAGACTTCAAATTTCAAGTTAACTCAATAGTGTTCATTTCATGCCCTCGAAGTACTCCCGAGGCTAGAAATGCAAAGTTTCAGCCGATGTATCCACTTCTTGAAAGCGTCACTGTACGCTGATTTGGGCACAGTAATAAGGTACTGATAAATGGCAGATCCAAGTGCCTGTCGGGACTTGTATTTCAGCCCAGCAAGGAAGGATTTCAATTTCGTAAGCAAAAAGAAATCACATGGGGCAAGGACTGGAGAATACGGGGCTGAGGCAAAACAGTTACTTTTTCTTTTTTCAAAAACGCCGAAACTATTGCGGAGGTATGAGCGGGGGCATTGTCATGTAGAAGCCGGATATGCTTAAAACCAGTGACAGGGCGTCGTTTCTTATAATACTTTTTCAGTTTCTTAAGTACTACGTTTTTGTAGTACTTCCAAGTGATACTTTTGCCCTTTTTCACCTGCACTTTAATTGCGACTCCTTCACCAGAGAAGAAAATTGCATACAAAACCTTTGCACTTAAAGATCGTTTGGCAATTATTGGGCGTTTGTTGTGTTTAGTGGCCCTGATTTTGTTGCTAACCTTTCTGACAGGCTCAAAATAATGGACCCAAGTTTCATCAACTGTGACGACATTGGCAAACTGTTTTTTGTCATATTTTGGAAACATTTGAAGCAGTTTTTTGGCAACCTTAACCCGTTGCCTCTTTTGCTCATCTGTCAACAGATGTGGCACCCATCTAGCATAAATCTTTCTGACTTTCAAATGCTTCTTCAAAATAAAGTGAACCGTTGATAGTGATATGCCTACCTTTCGTGCAATATCACGAGCTGTAAATCTGGCATCTCCTTCAAAGAAATCCTTTATTTTAGAAACGATTTTGTTACGAGATGCAGATTTTGGCCTACCTGATTTTGGTGCATTTTTGATGCTCTCTACATCAGACTCAAATTTCTTTTTCCATCGCCTTACTGTGTCATAAGACAAACAAGAAGGCCCATAAGCAGTAGAGAGTTCAGTCATCAAATGCTTTAAAGAGCAACCCAGTTTTGAGCGAGCTTTGATGTAAGCCCGTATTTTATCTTTTTTGTCGACGCTTCTACCATCCATTTTTACTTCATTACTACATAGGTCAATGACTGCGTGTATTTAAATGGCAAATTGTATGTCTTACACTTAGTCTAACATGTTCATTTAAACACCGTTGTACCCAATATAGGTATGTATGTATAGGATATCGACCGAGTACGAGGTCTTTCTGTTTAGAAAAGACCTGGTCACGAATTTCATGTGACACCGAGAGCGCGTAGCGCTCGAGGTGTTTCATGAAATTCGTGACCAGGTCTTTCCTAAACAGGAAGATCGATGTAAGAGGTGGATATCCAACTTACACACCGTTAACACTATATTGGCTTGAGCAATGGCTGATCCGAAGCATTTGATGAAATGCACAAATATTATCTTTAACACAACGCATATACAGGTAAGCTTTTATCAACGTTCTGCTTAAATACAATATATATTTTGCAATTAAATTTGCTTTCACTTTAAAATAAAAAAAAATCTAAATGTGCAATTTGTCAATAATAAAGTGAATAGATCTGTAATAGAAGGTACGTTAAAGAATGAATGATTATGTTGAAAGTATTTCGTATCAGACAATGCAGATTCTAGGACATTTGCCCCCGGGCAGTTGCCCCCCGGACGTTTGTCCCCTTTTTTGCCGTTGTGACTTGTGACTTGTCATCTCGTGTATAGATTTTTTTTGTATGCTAATGGAAACATTTTAATTTTATTTATTTATGGATGCTTTTTTGACTTTCATAAATTTGCGCGAGAGTTTTTGTGTATTTAAGCACAATGAAATTTCGACAATAGGCGATGAATTGTGGTAGCAAACATTTCAACAATAAATATTTTTAGAACAGGGAGGGAGAGCGGCAAATGTCCGTCCCTTCCAAATATATGAGGGGGCAAATGACCACCACTGCAAAAAGGGAGCAAACTTTCGATTGGGCAACTGTCCGGTAATGTGTGGATACCCAGCAGACCTCGAAAGACTTACATATGTATATTGTTGGAAAGTGTGAGATACTATTTTTTATATAGCAGATTATATAAATGTTCTAGAATAAAATATGATCGTTCATCATAAAATGTTTTAACTAAATCACTAATAACTTTATTTACATTTTAAAATTGTAATGAGTATGCTGTGATTTCTGCTACATAGTTTCATAGATATGAACTTGAAGCATCCATTTTGTTATATTATGAACTTAATGACAAAATTACTATTACTTTAAAAAAATGACGCGATAAAATAAATGTTAATTGTTTCCTAACTTTGATATGCTATCCATTATTTTTATTGAAAGATTTAATATAGGGATGCTGGAAAGATTGCTTAGTTAAAAGGGTTTTAATTTTTGATTGCATTTTATGTTTTCTTTGTCTGCGCATAGGCAGGTCTATTTTTTCACGTGCATTTCATGACCGGGTCTGTCTGACTATAACATACCTGTGCACGTGCAAAGATATACCTCATAACGGACTTTCTTTTGTTTAAACAGGTCTATCCGAAAAATATAGACCTGTCACAAACAATATAGGAGGTGTGTAATGGTTTTTATCGTGTCCCACGTGGATCACGAGATAGAGGACAATAAGCAATTCTTTTCGAACAGCCCTCGTACATCTATATTTGAACTCGTATACTCAAGGGACAGGACGTGAAGTGGTTGCACACTTGATTTAAGCGAGAAAATTGGTTGCAAACTTGAGAAAATGGCTACTGATTCATAAATTTTTACACAATTTTGCACATATTTTCTTCAGGTAAGTGTGTTTGTATGTTATTTTGAAATTCTTTAATATGCCTATCCTTAAAGCAATGTTTATTGCACACTCGGTTTAAGGTCTCAGCTTCCTAGTTTCTGATATGATGAAGTTATTTAAGATATAAACTAGTTATGTACATATTTTGAGATTTGACAAGTAACTGTCAAGGGTGATTTTCCTTGATGCTACTGGGAAACTATGAATGGTGAACGAGTCTAATTATATTTCTTAAGGCTGTGTTCCAGTCAAAGTAATGCGTAAAAACAGTTCATTCTACGTCAAATTTATATTTCGGAAGTACATCGTTTGGTGCTGCCTCATATTTGAACGATTGTTGTAGTCGATTAAGTTAACGCACAGTGTTCTTTGATATTTGTTTAGTAACAAATGGTGTTTTACCTCTTTAATAAGCATAATTCCAAACGACAAAAAGTTCTCTTCACATGACAAGGACGTTTTTGTTCGATTTTCTTTCACGGCTTATTATTATTGAGGCTCAAACACATGCCCCCGGGTCTTCTCTTCTGTTGATAATATCGTACATTGTATATATTTAAAGGAAAATAAAACCCGAGTATCATAGGTTTTGCCATTTTTAACGAGTTCGATCATGGGAGATTATATGTTACCTATAAAAATCATCGCTTGGTTATCTAGCTTTCATGTTAACAGCTGCTAGATTGACCATAGTTTTTACTACTGTGAACCAGTGAGAAATGACCAGTAATTTCTACTTGGTCTGAGTGTGCTGTAAATGAGGAAAACGTTGCAACAACTGCTTAAGAAAGCATTAAACGTCCTCGCGAACTTGGAACCTATTTTGAACGTTTAGAACAGGATAGAAACGTGATGTAAACTTGTACAGTCAGACATTGTTATATTGTTTTATTGTATTTAGATGGAATGACGACGTACTAAGAACGTAATGCGACCGATTGTGAAAAGGATGAACGAGCTATAAAAGGACAGATCTGTGTAAACTCTTACTTTTAGTCTTATCCCAAGCTCATCACCTTATTTCTCATAGGTTACTAGGACGTGCCTTGCTTGAGACAGGAGTATAAAGGGACACAAACAATCTATCTCCGTTGTACCACGGTTATCAAATTTGCTTCCCCTTCAGTGCCAAAGAAACGTCATTAAGTATTCTACTGATATCAGACAAACTGTATTTGTTAA